TGTACTCTCTGTGGGGGGGGGGCGATTAGCGACCCTTTTGCTGGTTCTGTACCTTCGTTTTCAGTTCAGAGATCTTTAAATAGAGTTTAATCTCCAGATAGAAAGATCGGAATTACGATGGTTTGAACATGTGATTACGATGTCATAGGAAAAAGTGGAAAAGCGGTGTGGTCATTGTTGGCACGCCTGGTGAAAAACGACCAAGAGACTTAGACGGATCAGATGATTCACTCAAACTAAAAATTTTGCATTGGTTGACTTTAGAACCCAGTTGGTGGAGCTAGCCCGATTGACGGAAAATCAGCAAACTAGGAAAAAAATCTCTTGAAGATGTCGCCACAATCCGAAAGAAATGTGGACACGCAAGCTGAACGAAATTATATTCCATGCTCGTACAATAAGTCCAACGTAGCATCACTTTTGCTGAGAGGTCACAACGTTAAAGAATGCTAAGCCATCACTTACCTCGATGAAGTACTCACTCACTGTGATAGTCGTAAAAGTCTGGTCTCCAAAACGTAGGTTGAAGTGACAATGCTGACAATATTCACAGTTTTGTGTAGTCACTGTAGTGTCTGCAAACACTGACCAAGACATTCACTTGGGGGTAGGAAGAGATACCTTGGTATTCATTTGAAAACTGATCATTACGAATAGCCGTCCCTTCTATTTTCTGGACAGAGGGTTATTAAACGCGAAATATAGTTCGCTAGTTATTCCGTACTCATTCCTCAAATATTTCGAAATCTGAAACTCTTTCAAAACCCTTGAACTTCGTGCCAACATGTTTCGAAACTTTTAATGAATGAGCTGATAATTCATATGGGAAAGTTATTGACTAGTGCTGATGAAAGGGTATTAATAATGTTTGGCGTTTTGCCAGTATGGCTTTTGTCAGCTGGTGATTTTTTCAGTTTTTAAGTCTGTTTTTGTGTTACTCTTTTTACGATCCATCCCCCTTGATAACTCTATGTTGATTACCTAAAAATGCAGTTCGGAAATAAGCCTGGAGGCCCAAGTCGTTCTGAGGCGCGACCGGCAACTGGCCACCAATGGCGAAGGCCACCGATCGAACGAGTTACATGTAAATGTTCGGACACGAATGACACTAGCTGCGTGTATGGGTTTCAGATGGCCGGACAGAAGCCAGTTGTTGTTGCACCGGTCCTCCACGGAGTCAAATTGAATAACAGTTTGTCGTCGAGCCGAGTCTAGTCGAGTACAGGTCAGAGCTGAAACGCTGGCGTCCGCCTCCAGTACGAGAGCTGTGCTGTTTGTCTGCTCTCTGCGCACAATCGCCGCCGTTGCAACGGGACCAAGCTGAGCTGGTTCGCCTGAACGACAATCGAACGTCACCCGACACTCCACCCAGCTCATTAAAGGACAATGGGCTAGCGCCGTCACAAAGTTTGTTGAGTGTCACAATTTGTGGCCTTGGGTGTGAAACGATAATGGCAGCAAGTGAAACTGATTACAAGCCCATTATTGGTGACATCGCTCGCCCGCTGCACGGACGTTGACCCACGCCAGCCACCGCCACCCAGTCACGGTCACCAAATGGCGATCGCGACCGAACACGCCATGCCTGACGATCGTCAAGCATGCACCATGACCACAAGCATACGACAACAGATCCGAAGCCTGGGCGAAAACAGTACGAAAAACTTTCATCGCAACTCTGGGAGCTCCTAATCGCCATCCATCGATGGCATGTCTTGCAGGTAGGCGGCAGACCGGCTGCTCATCAGGCAAGCCAAGGATTGGGTTCGAGTTTTGGCCGAGTTTGCTTGCCTTTCGTCCTTCGACGGTGGACAGAAGTGTACCACCGTGTATGGAATAGAAAAAGGAGGAAATATTTTACACAACCTTCTAGAGAAAAAATAATTTTGGCTGATGGTCAGAAACCTGCAGATTAGCTGCGCATCGCAAGTTTCATGAAAAAATTAAATAATATAAAAAACGCTAATGCATCTTGTTCAAAGCCCTGTTGGTTGAAAGGCAATCGGTCATGATCAGAAACCGTCCGGGCATATGTCCAGCTCAGCGATGACAGTATCTCGCCTATCGTAAGGCCTACTAAACTGTAAACTAGTTGCTAACCATCAGCCAAGGTATAAGCATCAAAAGTATTGAAAAGAAATGATCAGTTTCGCCAAACTTTATGCAGGAAACCCCATTACACATTTTCCTTCATTTAACGCCTGTTTGTAGAAATGACGAAGAAAACATGGAGGAATATGATGACAATAATTACAGAGGAAGTGTCATTCGCAATGTACACAACAGACAGAGTGCCTACGACCTTTTCTTTCGTGCCTTGTATGGATTACTATTTTCGTACGGTATCCCTAACCTATTATGAAATTATGATATGGTGTATAATTTTTACCAGAAGATGTACATAATTCATAGAGCGTGGTCAAAACAAAATTAGGAGGCACATTGGTAGTTCAATGTGCTATCATCAGAGTGAACATGAAAGCGAATGGAAAAGCGACTGAAGACATGTACATCAAGTACGCCACTCCGTAATTCGTTGAAGTTAATGTAATCAAGTTTGAACATGTGCAAGATTGTATATACCTGGAAAGCCAATATTTATATGAACCAACGGAAAACCAAAAATGGCATGGAGCACTTGTATCTGATTGAAGATGTACATATCCAAAAGATCACCCTTGCATTTGATGAACTAAAGGTCTTCAGTCAGTGTGTGCCCCCAATTCTAGCGTAATGCAAAACATGAACTCATGTCTTGGCGGTTGATCCGAAACTGCAAGCTATTGAACTCAATATGTTGACAATAATGAGTCGTG